GGGGAGGGTGCGACCCTGGCGGGGACAGGCTCCCTGCCGACTTCCCGTGGCCGGGAGGGAAGGTGGGAGGCCTTGAGGCATGGTCTGCCTTTGCCTTTCTAGTTGATGCCCACTTTTCTGTTTCCTTCAGAAGGTTCTCCGTGCAGAGATGTGCCCGCTGCCACCTTGGGATCTCAGCCTCTGAGATGGTCATGAGAGCCAGGGAATCGGTTTATCACCTGAGCTGCTTCACCTGCACCACCTGCAACAAGACTCTGACCACAGGCGATCACTTTGGCATGAAGGACAACCTCGTTTACTGCAGGGCCCACTTCGAGTCCCTTTTGCAAGGAGAATACCCCCCCCAGCTGAGCTACACCGAGCTGGCTGCCAAGAGCGGAGGGCTGGCCCTGCCTTACTTCAATGGCACCGGCACAGTCCAGAAGGGGAGGCCCAGGAAACGAAAGAGCCCTGCCTTGGGAGTGGACATCGTCAACTACAACTCAGGTGGGAAACACACGCTGAACCTCCCTCCCGCTCCTCTGAACAGGAGCGGTCTTGGGCTTCCCCTCAGCTAGGCAGTGCGTGAGTAACGCAGCCAGGCCCAGCCTTGCTTAACCATTGGAAAATCAAACAAACGGTCCTCTGAGGGTTGGAGTGTTTGCAGGAAAGCTAACAGCAGCCCTCCTCAAAGGCTGTCTTTGCCTATTAATGTCAAACACCCAAACTTAGCCACTTCCCAGGGTAAAGACAAAAAAAAAAAAAAAAAGGAAAAAGAAAAGGACAAAAACCCCCCCCAAGCCACAGTGTTCTCTATAGGAACTTCAGATATACTGTTATCATTATTCATATTTCCTTAGCAAAATGCACTTCACCAGTTAGACCCCAAGTTAGAAGTAATGAAACGGATCAGAAACAAAAACCAGAATAAGTTACAGTATGTGGCTCCTACAATGCCACTGCAGTATGCACATAACTTGATACAGATACTCAATTTATAGTAATCAATTCTTCAGGCTAAATAATCCTGGTTTACTGGCACATAAATGATCAAATGGTATAAGAGGCCAACAAATAAATGTTGCTCTCTGTAACTAAGCTCTAACCAATATAATTAAAGAGAATGGCTTTTCAGTGGTAGGAAAGAAACAAGTGTTGCCCCGTATTAAATGTCTTCCCAAACTCTGCAGTCACTGAAGTACCCAAACCGTGCCTAAACACACAGGGGTAAGGGCCAGAGGTGAAGGAGTTTCAGGTACGATCAAGCAGTTTAAGCGGCGTTTTGTTAGACGGAAGACGAAAGCAGTAAGGGTAAATGAGAATTAACAAGTGACCGACCCCAAAACCTTAAGTTTCTCTAAAACTTAAGCTCTCCGTGGGTGCTAACGAGGGAAGAGGGAAGCGGGAAGCAAGAGTTGTGCGGGGAGGAGCGGGGAGCC